ACTAATATAATAATACTTAGTAATTATGCTTAATCAAATCTTTAAATTTCATTGTCATTACAATACTTAAAATGATTAAAATATTTATGCAGCAAATGTTCTCTTGCTTTACCACGCTCGTTTCCCTTGTAACACTCAATTATTGAGCTTAATGTATTCTTTGATAATACGAATTATAATATTGATTACACTCTTGTCATACATAGTTTGATTTACTTAACGGCTCCCTGTAAGACTAACTACGCTTCTTCAGTATACACACACTGCAGTATTGTTAACCAAATGCTAGAATTTTGTTGGTTCTGTGTTAATATCTCTTTATAACATGTGTAGACAGGTTACTTTACAATGTCAAATGTTTACTACGTAAAAGACTTTCATGATAATTTGGTACAATAAGTCCTGCCAACCGACCTTACCTTCAGTTCATACTACCTACATTGAACTCTAACTATAGTGTTCTACTGAATCTTGCTCCACTATTCACAAAACCTATTCTTTTTACTCTTTAAGGTTCTAACATCCTATAAACTAATCTGTTCATTAGGACGCGTGCACACATATATAATATGTTCATAAATCTGTATGTGGAGATCTATTGGAAGCACTCACTAAGAAAGCTAGGCAAATGGAATGTGAGGTACGAACGTGTCCGGAAGCAAGCAATATATTTTCTGTAGCCATAACAATCAGAGCCTAACATCATAAAAGGAGGGAGGGTGGCGCATGCTGATCAGTAGATATGGTGGTGGACACTAAGGTGAATCGCCCCATTCTGCAGGAACAGCAATATGCAATTTGAAGGCTCAAGATTTCTATGAGGGATTGAATCTTTATCTTGAAAAAGATGATAATGATCACCTAGACAGATCATGCTTCTACCTTTAAACATATACCATTCGGTCAGCCTATTGCTGAGATGCGACCACGCGGGCTTTGCACAGATTTATGGGGCATCTTATAAATTAACACGCTTTACATTTTTGGATCTTTGAACACGACTTAACAATGTATCATCTCATTCATTTTCTAATAACGTCTTCACTTGCTCATTATATTCCATTAAACCTAACATTTTATAGCTCTTGATGAATTTGATCCGACTTATTTTATTCCCATTCTCTATAGGGTACGGTTGTGCACCAAATACACAAAAAAAGTATGAAATAAAAACAACCGGCTTGTGGATAATTGTATTAAAACCAAAAGTGGACATCATGATAGTAAGACCTATATGGGTAGCATTAAACATTGCAAATGAACTTTGTCAGCCTAGGGATTATGGTCTCCCATTGTGTTTCCTTTTTGAATGCATCTATTAATGATACATTGCATTTACCTATTTCATTACACTTTAATGATTCACCTTAGCACCTTTACTTTTCTAAAACAGCTTACTATCCCTTTTAAACGTTGTACTTACCTCAATATTGGTTGGTTATCGTATAGCTACAACTACGGGTTGAAAACGAAACGAAGTTGATTTTCCCGTGCAACCTGGAGGACTACTGTTCAATTCAATAATGATGCGACCTGGGTCAGACAATGAGTGTATTTATATATATATCAAATATTTAGCTGTTCAAACATTATTAACTTGTAGACAATCTACTACTTGGCATTATATCATACTTGATCGTGCCTGTAAAAATGGCATGCATTTTCATGTAAATTTATATGTTTATATGAAAATATACATTATTATTAAGGTTTATAGCGTTTAGAGTAGGTTGTTTTATAAGTGCTGACTCAGATGACTGCGGTTTAATGGCACTGCTGGAATAGTGCACTACACCCGTATCAGCACGGAGAGTGGTGCCATCTTTGGTTACCTTCGGGTGTGTAAAGTGTTCATAATACCGTGTCTAGAATGCAATGCACTCCTTCCTAGGGACAAGTGGTTTGATTGAGGCTGCAATTTCTTATCGGCTAAGAAAATTTAGATCGGATGAAGGGAAGGCAGGTATTTCTTGTGGATAGTATGCCGGAGTAAAGTTACGTGAGTCAAAGTAGTGACTAATATAATAATATGATATCGTTAATCCGGTGGTCCTCAGGGATGATATGATTCAGAAGGCCATCTTTAGAAAACAAGCCTGACGCACTTCCCCTTTGTTGTGGAGGTTCATAGACCACACTTCCGTATATATTAGCCGCAGATAATGGAGTTGTGTGGGGGTCGGTGTATGCCTTTCGGTAGGCTTTCGACTTAGTCTTAGGGTGCCCAGAGAAGTAGAGTTTGTTTTGTCTATCGGGTGAATATTTTTTCCGTGTTAGACGAATCAATGAGTTACCCCCTTTTCACTGACGTTATATTTATAGTAGTATGAAGACTTATTCAACTTTTCTAGATTATCGGTAGGATTTGATTTGCTCAAGTTAAGGTTCTTGTGCTTGATGCTGAAAAACCAGTCAGTAACGGGTTTGAGTACAAGTATCCCTGATGTTAGGGTTAAGTTACTTCATTTTTTATGCATACTAGTCTGTGTGCTCCTTGAGGATGTTTTTTTCTTGGTATACGCTCGATCTGGGACTTTTGCGGAACATTGGCATTAATAAGGGATCAATTAGCAGTTGATGGTGATGACATTTCTAGCGAGCACAAATCTAAATATACGTCTAAGTCTGTGACTGTAGTTGCTTCACTGTTGCGATTACTAGGAAAAGCACTATTATTTAAGGGTGTTTTATTTCCATTCGCATCTGTAGCAGTTGGTTTACTTAAATCTAAGGGATAGAACCTTCTGTAGGAAGTTCTGTGGGTAGATAGGTTTTTGCGACACCTGTGGAGTGTGTAACAATATGATTGTACACTTTTTGTTAGATGTTGAAATTAAAGACATTGTACATGATTTTTGTTAAAAACGATTCATGTTGAAATACAGATAACCTACGAGGACAATCTGAAATACAGTGGAGGCGCGGAGAATTTAACACTCTCTAACGGATATCATCACCCTGGTAGTTTCGCCTTCCAACTAGTCATTACTATTTACTTGTTCCAATCATACCGTGTTGTGTACCGTGGATTTATTGCAGGAACCTATTATCCTTATCCGAAGTCAACTCAACAACCGGCACTCAGCTTCTACGAGTAGACAGGATTCCAGTGAAAGCGTCTGTGGATTATATTAGTAATTTGTAGTAGTGGACTTTAACAGTATATCCAAGTAACGTTTTAATTAATATAATTCATTACTGTGTTTTTGATAATATATTGTTACACTATCATCTCATTAACTTGTATTTTTATGCGCATACTTGTTATGTTATTGAGCTCGCTAGACAGTCCCTTACACACCTGATGCATTTGCACGGCTGTCTTTGACATGGTGTTAATTCATGAGTAAGTTTAACGTACTGTAAGGTGTGGATGAACTGAAAGATTGTTTAGATGACCGGAATTTTCTAGAATCATTAAGACCACTGAGTTTAAACAGCACAGGACAGGTATTCCTTACTGATTTTTTTGCTCCTGGTTAGGTGGCAGTTTGCTGAAGATATGCCACACGCTTGGAGTTGGTCGTACTAGGTTGACATGGAGGAGATCGTGTAGGGAGGAAGAGATGATTGAGTTTGGGCAATCGTGGACCCAGCTGAAGAGGATGGCAGAAAAGTGGAGATGTGTTGTCGAAGCCCTATGTTCCACTCGGAACCTAAAGGAATAAAAATGTTATAATATAATACTGATGGAAACTGTTCACGCCACCTGAGAGGCATAATTAGTTGCATTTTCTCGTCTGGTGAAATGTCTCCTTATCCTTGGTCGACTCCAATTAAAATTCTGTGTTGTGTGTCGGCTTCAGTAACGCATACATATTTGGACTAACAGCCTCTGAGATCCAAAAGTATGGATAAATCTGAGACAACATTTCCAAGTCATTTCTCATCGGATAATTTGTTTTCAAAGTTGGATATTATGATGTCTACCTGCCATCTATCTGAAGACTTTCGAAATTCGACAGAACCGTTGTAGTTGACGGTGGGCCAGCGGATACAGGTAAGCTGAAATGCATTTGTGTTTTGGAAATTTCTGGTCGCCTTTCAATTTTGGGAAAATTTACCGGGAGTCGGAAATCTAGGATCTCAAACTGAGGCTCCCTGTCTGCTAGAAGACTGGATGGCTAGTCTAAGGTTGAGACATAAACCACCAATTTATAGGTGGGGAACTCTTAATACCGTGAATATTGGAATGTAAACTATTGCTCAATGGTTCAGGCAGCAGTAACTTGAAGACTTACCCTCTTCAAATAATGACTACACGGGTAATGAATGCGTTCGTTCGACTACCGTCTGTGCTTTCACTACTTCGTAGAAATTATCTGAATGTGAGAGCCAGTTTACACGTAACCCAGTGGACCTTCCTTGGCATTTGTGTGACTCCACGTCTGAGGTAGGCTTTACGATGGTGAGATTCCTAAAATGTTCCCAAATACCGATACCTCTGAGATAATCACGACCTTTTTGCACCAGAGACTTTGGTGATTAAAACTTTTTTAATGATCTGCTAAGAATATATCACTGTTTTATCCAAAAATAGGGACGTATGGAAAAGGGAAAACTTCAGTCACATCCTGTTCTCTGTGATCCTTTGTAGATGCCTCTAAGATCGCCCATAGGGCCCCTACCTCCTCTTCACACGATCTTCATAATGTCACCCTCAAAATGATATCCAACTCGGTATTTCTCACTTAAGTTCCACTCGAGCGAACAATGTCACTCAACTGTCTTTCAGTATTTGTCCAATTCATTTCCATTTCATTCGGCATGTTTCTTGTATCACCTAGGTTAGCATGATTGGTCATTAAAAACCTTATTTGGAATAGAATCGTAAACTTAAGATCAACTAGGAAGTTTAAGGACTTGTGTTATGCCAATTACCTCATTCGCATTGATATTCATGTAGTAATAACATGTGGCAAATTTCACAACTTGAAATATCTCACGAGTTGTTTGTAAAGACAAGTCTACTGACTTTATTGTGAGAATAACAAAATTCAGAATTTAATATTATTATTTATTATCTTATATATCATGTTATTTTAATATGATTATCCAATTAAACGAGATATTACAATTATGATATTTACTAGTGAAGAAAATAATGTTTGTTTTCTAAAATTTCTCAAGGTTTTTAAGTATGTTGAATTTGATTTAACAGAATATTTTGTTTCAATATATATTTCGTACTGTTTCTTTTTCGAAATATGGAATACACCGTCTTGGTTAAATAAACATTTAACCACCTGAAGATAATTTAAATAAAATTTATAAAAACAGATATGTTAAGGGAATGTAATTATTAGTTAATTATTTGGATATATCGAGTTGAAAATCTGTACGTAAAATCAGTGTTATACAATTTTTATTCCTAGAAACACTTGGATAGCAATGAATAAAATCATAAAAATATGAAGCTTTGAAATGACTGAAGTTAAAGGATAGTGATCCAAGACATGGTCAGATATGATGACCTTCAAGCTGTCAATTATTGGTTACCAGACTAATTAAAGCATAAGTCAATCAGAGGTGTGGCTTTGTTGCACAACCGCGTTAATTGTAACGTAGCCCGTTGTGATAGTGGTTTAACGACAAGTTATACTTGTTATATGGTTTATGAAATGAAGTTTTACACACATACACACACACAAAATTGTTTTTTTTTCTGAGGTATGTATTATCGGTGGCATTATATATAAATTTTTTGAACTCTGTTACATTTACTTCATCTTTATCAGAAAATCTAGCTTGATAGTGAAATAATACTGGTATATTGTAGCTAATTCATTGAAACGCCTTAACGCCCACTGGATGAAGCAGGTGACGCCACTTTATAACGGCGATATGCACTAGAATCGCTGTAAAATCAGTGTTTAAAAATCACTTGATAATAATCCTAGCATGCGTTGAAGATCAAAACGATGACTCTAATGAAGTTTTCGCTGTATAAGTCACAGCTTTCTCAACAGAATTATTGCAATTTCATTAACCAATAAAATTTATAGTCAAGCAGTAAAAAAATTGAGGTGAACTTCTTTGATAGTCAGTGTTAGTAAATATTTGTACCGGGTAAATAAGTGTGATTGATCGTTGTATATTTATAATGATTTTGTCAAATTGTCATTGATAAATTGTTTTGTATATATCTGTCTATGTATATATTGTCTGTTGCATGGAGAACATTTGAATTCATAAGTGATTTTCATAACAGTTGTTCAGGAGTTAAAGAATAATTGCGAATAATTATCTATTTTGTGTCATCAGAGTTGGTCAGATATGTGATAAGTCTATCCGTTCACTCCATTTTATTGCATCCGATGTGGTTAATATATGCAAAGCTTCATAGTTGAAACTTTTTTCAAGTGAATGGTATCACAATTCAAGGGATTGAGACATGCATCTGTGCCAAACTTGGACGTAAAATCGTCACTTTCGAGTACCATTTGAAGGCCTAACATAAAATATCACCCAACAGTCTTCTCAGTGTTTGTCTATCCCATCTCCATTTCTTCCCACACAATTTCTCGATAATCGATCTTCGGATATTTTTCTGCCTGCCTGAATTTCTTGTTGCTTATTGTTTCTGACCGGCCATATTATTTTAAGTATCCAGCAAAGGAAACCGTTCAGCCTGTTGGAAACTTTTCAAGTGCTTGTCAAATCTATAAATCATTCGAATCAGTTGTCTGTAGTATTCCTCCTTGTTCTCTTTGTCTGCGTTGTTTGTAGCAGAGTACTACTGGACAATGGCAACCTTCTTGCTGCACGCTGCATGAGAGATTTCTACGCTGTTGACCACATTTTGGTAGCCGCATCCTCTGCGGACTTCTGGTTATCATTTGAATTAGATCACTGTCCCTCCAGTTAATAATATTGAGAGTCCACTTCCATTGAATCTGTTTTCACAGATTCCTAGCACTTCTCTACTATATCTTGTCATCTCTTCCTCAATCTAGCCATGTTCCTGTAGTTAATTTGCTTTCATTCAGTAAACATCCGTCGGTTGACTGATTTCTCGAAGCCTTTCAACAGCTGGCATCATTCGTCTTCTCTGAATCCAAGGGCGAACTAGTCTGTTTTTTATGTCTTTTCTTTTTGGATTTTTTGTGGTGATAAGGTTGTTTTTGTAGGGTAATATTGCTAGCCCTACTCCCAATATTTCCACATTTTTTCGGGCTTAAAACTGACTAGCAAAGTAGATAAGGGTAAAGACGCATGGGATATGAAAAATTGATAGCCTGTCAGATCAACTTTCTGCCGCCATTATTGGAAGGAACAAAAATTGCCTACCGACTGGAAGAAGCGCTACCTTGGCAAACTACCTAGCCTTTGCAAGAACTGGCGTGGAATAATGCTTTTCTCCACGCCAAGTAAAATATCAAGTCGCTTCACCCTGGAGAGAATAAAAGATACGCTGGATTCAGAACAATCTGGCTTCAGAAAACTCAAGTCATGTGCTGATCAAATTGCAGCTCTGCGCATAGAATGGCAGTCGAATATCTACCTTAACTCCCTTCGTCAACTTTGAAAAAGCTTTTGATCGCGTTGACTACGAAGTAATTTGGAAACTACTTCAACACTATAAAGTAACCAAGTTGATTACCAACACCATTCAACAGCTATATGACAATGTCACATGCCAGATGAGACACAGTAGAAAACTCAGCAAAGCGATTGAATTAAAGAAAGGGGTAAGACAGGGATGCCAATTATAAACCAGGATGATATTCTTGATTGTTGTGGACTGGATTATACCTCAGACTGTGCATGAGAATGGAAAGATGGGAATATACCGATAAGAAGACTCCAGAAAATTTGGATTTAGCGGGTGATTTATGTCTAATGTCACACGAAATCGAAGACTTGCAGACGAAAACCACCAAACTGACTGAAGAGACTGGTAGAAAAGGCAGGACTCAAAATGAGCTTAGAGAAGCCGGAGGTGATGAAGATAGTTACCGACCAACAATCACAACAGTAACCAGCATCAGTCACCATCAGTGGGAGACATTTGATGGAGCTAACTTCCTTCACTTATTTGGGCAGTGTCGCTTTGAATGCAGGTGGAGGCATAGGTGAGAATATCACCAGAATTAAAAGTCAGGACAAACCTTAATCACTCTAAAGTCTTCCGCACTCTGGATGAACTACAAATTTCGGATTTTCAACATCAATGTTAAGTCAGTTCTTCTATATGGATCAGAAACTTGGCTAACGCGTCATGAAATGCATTTTCGACAGGCCGCATACTTTTATAAACATTTGTCCTCTTTCGATACTGAATATCAGATGGCCAGAAGGAATTAGTGACACGGAACTCTGGGAACGAAGCAAGAGGGAACCTATTTGTGGAGAAATGTGTCTTAGAGAGCGTAGATAGATCATAGATATGTTGAAGAGATGGTTGAGTGACATTGTGCACTAAGCCATGACTCTGGTGGGATCGGAATGGAGAACGATGACTCAAGCGTATTTTCGAGGGTGACGTGGAGGGGATAGTGTGACGAAGCAATCAAAGTTTATGGATACTATGTGGCCAGATAAAGAAGGCTGCAGAGAATAGGACAAAGTGGGGATGTTCTGTTGAAGCCCCATGTTACACTTGGAAACCAAGGAAACAATAATAATAATAATAATTCGAAGGTTACTGGTTGGAGTACTCCCGTTTTAAAATTTTTTTATTTCACTATCATCAGCCTGCATATTTCACTGATGCTGGCGATGATACTGAAGTAGTCATTTTGCACGGGAGCGTATCTACGAAATATGCCCTTATATATATTAATATATATATATATATATATGCAACTTACCAGATGCAAAGGAGGCATAAATACAACGACCTGTCAAGTAAAGTTTCAAGAAAACAGATACAATTTATGAGATGATTGCAGTTGATTCAGTTGACTGTGTTCTTTAAGTAACGAGCGATTCTGGGGACATCACTCGTACCAAATTCCCACGAAACTTCATGAACTCTCTTACAAACGACGTACAGTCAAGGCTGATATGGAGTGCCTGGGGCTACAAACCGTCTACGGACTCCGTCTGTGGAACAAGAATTGGATAACCCTGTCACAAAACCTTGCATCAGATCGCCGCGCCTGGGCAGCGATGATTCGAGATGTTCATGAAGCCGACTCATCCTCTCGTAGGAGATAGCCGAAGTAAAGTAAAAGTAAGTTCTTTAAGTAACGTCAAGGCAAATAAAACCAGCTTGGTGAAAATAACTAGCGAAGAATTACTTAAATTTAATTTGTGGAGGGAATTGTTTTTACACAGCCAAGACAGTTGAAATCGGTTTACAGGAAATCATGAACCTAGGCTCCATTCTTACGAACGCTCGTCTGTAAAGCGTATCTGGAGCCATGAAAGAGCTGTTGTCCTTTTCCACTCTTAGATTCGAATTGAAGTCACATTGTATAGTCAGACGCGCAACCGTTGAGCTGTTGAGGTGAATACTCACCTGTTGGACTGTGATAGGTGATGGCGCCGATATCATAGATTCACAGTTTCCTGCAGATTGCTTCCAATTATCTAGCCTCAATGCTAAAATCCACTTAACTGGAGTAGGTCAAGAGAGTGGTTAACTTCTCAATCTTTCCTGTGAGAGAAAAACTAAGCTGAAGACGTCATCAGGCAAATAGTAGAGCTGCAAGCTTGAAGATTTGAAGTTTTATTAGCCGTGTTATCTTTCAATGGTGAAGTCTCTAACCTTACACTTAACCTTCCATATATCCCAGGCTTACTGTTTGGTAGCAAAATAAGCGAGTTCCAGTAGTGCATTGGCTGAAAACGGAATTCCGGAATCATATACGCGGTCGGCGAGCAGTGTAAGGCTGAACTGCATACGCATTACCTTATCAAAATGCCTAAGACTGAAGAAACAAACTTACAAGGTTTTCACCGTATACCTTACTGTTATGATTCCTGATAACAAGTTTGGTTGCATATTTGCAAGAACCTGAAGAGAGAACTCTTCGTTTTTGTGATGTATAGGAAATTCAGACTTTCCTCTTTTACTCTCGAATCATCAAAAATTAATTTCTAAGTATTCAAGTTACCTTTAAGGTTGAATTCAATGTTGTGTAGATCCTTTATTCTTATCATATTAGGCCAACCTTGAGAGAAAGAGATAAATTAATGATATTCAAATAGAAAGGTCATGAGATGATGATGTACAGGTTAGCATTATAAAGTATCAATGGGGAAATGGAAAATAAAGTGACTTGACGTCATTGAGACATAGATTACTTGATTGAGTGATTGAGTGATATACAACTAATCATCTAAATCAATCAGTAGTATATGCAGAGAGATTTCAAAACTTCTCCAGCTTCCACTCAGTATAGGTGAAGAAACCAAGGTCACCGTGCTTTCATATAAAGTGGTAAAGCCGGTTAGTTTTTCATAGCATCTGCTGAAAGTCCGTCCTTGTCGGTAGATTAGCCAGTGAGAAAATTGCATGACATTCTTCCTATCTTATCATTTGTTGGTGTAAATAAACAAACAACTTTTGTGTACACTAATATTGGTCTGAAAATTTTTTATGGTAACTTCCTTAACAATGCCTAATAATCGAATGATCACGAAATTAGAGAATTTAGGCGGCGGCATCATTTATAGAATTGTAAAGACGGAATTTCTAGCAGTTTCGGGATCCATATCTACAAAGTGTGCCATTATGGAGCTGCTGATTGATTTTATGACTCCTTTACCCAATGTTTTTAGACACTGCTTAAGAAGTTAACGGTGGGTGTGCTTAGTGGCTCTAGCTAATTTGCAGTTTCCATAAGAACAGTTTAACTTGAAATGCAGATCCATTTGTTAGACAGAATCAGTAGAATATTCTTCATCTGCAATGAAATTATTCAACGAGTCGTTAATTCTAAGAATAATGTTGTGATCAAAACTTCCAGGCAGTAAGTTACCAGAGATTAGGTTCAAGTAATTAAGTGGCAAGCTGCATTTCATCACTAACGTCATCTATATATGTATATGAAAATATATATTGTTGAGTGAATAATGAATGAACTCACTGGGTGTTATTGATGAAAATTCAGGCGTAGTAGTCAACTGTTCAGCACTACCATCTGACTGGGTTCGTTCTGATGCATCTGTGACCGGTTGTGTTCCTGCAGAGAAAAACAAGGAGAGAAAGAGATAAATGTAGAGAGGGAGAAATGAGCATTTAAATTTTATGTGGATGTTACAACATTGGTGCGTGTGGTGAGCAACAAAATTACCAGGTCTGAGTGATGATGAGTGATGTTCTGTGTTGAATTTCGGGGAGTGTATTATTTTGTATGATGTTTTGTATTGTATGCATGTGTGTATTTGTTAGTGTGCATTTTGGTGGGCCTCTAACTGGTGTGAGTTTTGTGGCAGGTATGTAGGTGGTAGATTTTTATATTATTGCAGTGTTTGTGGTTGTGGATGTTGTTATTATTTTGGTTTGTGTTGCTTTGTGATTTGGTGCGACACTGAGTTAGTCAGTTGGAGGGTGTGTGACGTCTTTGTCATGATGAGAATGAGTGAGTGAGTGAGATTGAGTGAGACAGTCGTATATGGAGAGTGATTGAGAAACATCGATTGGGACTAAATAATTTCGATGAGATGGAGAGAGACAGAGAGATTTGGAGGTGAATGTTTTGATGTGAGTGATGCAGAATGAATGGGTGGGGTTAGCGACGATATCATCAAGCCTGAATACCAAGAAGGATGAGGACGATGGTGATGCTGATGAGTGTTGTTGACTGGTGATTCTCGAGGAATGTGTTCTGTTCCTGTGTGTTGTGTTGTGATGTGCTGTGCTGTGCTGTGACGTGTTGTTTTTTTGGTTTGTATTGTTTTGTGTTATCACGTACTGCCTTGTGTATGAAAGAATATACAAGAGGGTGTTTTGCGATGTCCTTTGTTGTGATGCGTTGTGTAGGTTTTTGTATTGTTTGGTTGTTGCTGAGGCCTTGCGGCATTCTACTATTTGGTGTGGTGTTTCCTATTTCTCCTGCCGATATAAGAGTGGGTGTATAAACGCTCTTCTGCAAATTACATTGCACTTGCGTTGATAGTGCGGTTTCCGGTTTCAAATGGATTGTTCGCTAAATGTGGTGTGCGGTGGTTGATAAGATCATGAGACGTTCAGTGAGTGAATGAGTGGGGGCGGAAGTGACATAAAGTTATCAAGGTGTTGTTAATGAATGTGCAATTTGAACGATACATGTAGTCTGCCAGACTGTGTGTATGTGTTAGGAGGCGCGCCTCTGTGAGAGCTGGATAGTTTCGGTGATGTGTAAATGTTCTATAGAGTGTGGTGTGAGCAGAAGAGGGGGTGATGCGTGACGAATAATGCCAGATTGCTGCGAGTGTGAAGGCGAACCGGGAAAAAAATCAATGCAATTAAAAGAAATGCAATGCAAGGGAAGGCATGGAATGGCATGTGATGTGATGGAAGGTGACAGAACGGAAGGGAAGGGAACTGGACGGGACTCCACTGGTGGTGGATTGGACTGATGTGATTGCAGAGGGCGGGTGTTCGGTGAATAAAAATAAAAGTGATCATCATAATCAAAGGGAATTGACTGACCTGGTGTTGTTGACTCGAATTGAGGCGTGGTAGTCAACTGTTGATCAGTGCCTTCCGACTGAGTGCTTTCTGACTGATCTGTGACTGGTTGTGTTTCTGTGGAGGGAGAGACGGGAAGAGAGACAGAGTGAGACAGAGATAAAGAGAGATAGAGAGAGTGAGTGAGTGAGTGAGTAAGTGAGCGATGGAGCAGTGGTTTTATGTATTGAAATTCGACTTGCGTTCGATTGTTTGTTTGCTTGTCTGTGTGATTGTGTGGCTGTGTGTGTGTGTGTGTGTTGGTGGGTGGATCTGTGTGACTGTTGGTTAGTTCTTTGTGATTTGTAGGTGTTTTGTGGTGTGTGGTAGTGGTATTTTGTTGAGTGGGTGAGTGGTTGTTGATGGATAATTCTGGGTGTGAACGTGGCCGACTGTGTGGTTGTCTGGCGGGGTGGATGTTTAGGGGTAGGCAATGCAATGGAATGAAATGGAATGCAATGCAAAGGAATGCAAGGGAAAGGAAGGCATGGAATGGCGTCACATGGAATGGCATGTGATGTGATGGAAGGTGACAGAACGGAAGGGAAGGGAACTGGATGGGACTCCACTGGTGGTGGATTGGACTGATGTGATTGCAGAGGGCGGGTGTTCGGTGAATAAAAATAAAAGTGATCATCATAATCAAAGGGAATTGACTGACCTGGTGTTGTTGACTCGAATTGAGGCGTGGTAGTCAACTGTTGATCAGTGCCTTCCGACTGAGTGCTTTCTGACTGATCTGTGACTGGTTGTGTTTCTGTGGAGGGAGAGACGGGAAGAGAGACAGAGTGAGACAGAGATAAAGAGAGATAGAGAGAGTGAGTGAGTGAGTGAGTGAGTAAGTGAGCGATGGAGCAGTGGTTTTATGTATTGAAATTCGACTTGCGTTCGATTGTTTGTTTGCTTGTCTGTGTGATTGTGTGGCTGTGTGTGTGTGTGTGTGTTGGTGGGTGGATCTGTGTGACTGTTGGTTAGTTCTTTGTGATTTGTAGGTGTTTTGTGGTGTGTGGTAGTGGTATTTTGTTGAGTGGGTGAGTGGTTGTTGATGGATAATTCTGGGTGTGAACGTGGCCGACTGTGTGGTTGTCTGGCGGGGTGGATGTTTAGGGGTAGGCAATGCAATGGAATGAAATGGAATGCAATGCAAAGGAATGCAAGGGAAAGGAAGGCATGGAATGGCGTCACATGGAATGGCATGTGATGTGATGGAAGGTGACAGAACGGAAGGGAAGGGAACTGGATGGGACTCCACTGGTGGTGGATTGGACTGATGTGATTGCAGAGGGCGGGTGTTCGGTGAATAAAAATAAAAGTGATCATCATAATCAAAGGGAATTGACTGACCTGGTGTTGTTGACTCGAATTGAGGCGTGGTAGTCAACTGTTGATCAGTGCCTTCCGACTGAGTGCTTTCTGACTGATCTGTGACTGGTTGTGTTTCTGTGGAGGGAGAGACGGGAAGAGAGACAGAGTGAGATAGAGATAAAGAGAGATAGAGAGAGTGAGTGAGTGAGTGAGTGAGTAAGTGAGCGATGGAGCAGTGGTTTTATGTATTGAAATTCGACTTGCGTTCGATTGTTTGTTTGCTTGTCTGTGTGATTGTGTGGCTGTGTGTGTGTGTGTGTGTGTGTGTTGGTGGGTGGATCTGTGTGACTGTTGGTTAGTTCTTTGTGATTTGTAGGTGTTTTGTGGTGTGTGGTAGTGGTATTTTGTTGAGTGGGTGAGTGGTTGTTGATGGATAATTCTGGGTGTGAACGTGGCCGACTGTGTGGTTGTCTGGCGGGGTGGATGTTTAGGGGTAGGCAATGCAATGGAATGAAATGGAATGCAATGCAAAGGAATGCAAGGGAAAGGAAGGCATGGAATGGCGTCACATGGAATGGCATGTGATGTGATGGAAGGTGACAGAACGGAAGGGAAGGGAACTGGATGGGACTCCACTGGTGGTGGATTGGACTGATGTGATTGCAGAGGGCGGGTGTTCGGTGAATAAAAATAAAAGTGATCATCATAATCAAAGGGAATTGACTGACCTGGTGTTGTTGACTCGAATTGAGGCGTGGTAGTCAACTGTTGATCAGTGCCTTCCGACTGAGTGCTTTCTGACTGATCTGTGACTGGTTGTGTTTCTGTGGAGGGAGAGACGGGAAGAGAGACAGAGTGAGACAGAGATAAAGAGAGATAGAGAGAGTGAGTGAGTGAGTGAGTAAGTGAGCGATGGAGCAGTGGTTTTATGTATTGAAATTCGACTTGCGTTCGATTGTTTGTTTGCTTGTCTGTGTGATTGTGTGGCTGTGTGTGTGTGTGTGTTGGTGGGTGGATCTGTGTGACTGTTGGTTAGTTCTTTGTGATTTGTAGGTGTTTTGTGGTGTGTGGTAGTGGTATTTTGTTGAGTGGGTGAGTGGTTGTTGATGGATAATTCTGGGTGTGAACGTGGCCGACTGTGTGGTTGTCTGGCGGGGTGGATGTTTAGGGGTAGGCAATGCAATGGAATGAAATGGAATGCAATGCAAAGGAATGCAAGGGAAAGGAAGGCATGGAATGGCGTCACATGGAATGGCATGTGATGTGATGGAAGGTGACAGAACGGAAGGGAAGGGAACTGGACGGGACTCCACTGGTGGTGGATTGGACTGATGTGATTGCAGAGGGCGGGTGTTCGGTGAATAAAAATAAAAGTGATCATCATAATCAAAGGGAATTGACTGACCTGGTGTTGTTGACTCGAATTGAGGCGTGGTAGTCAACTGTTGATCAGTGCCTTCCGACTGAGTGCTTTCTGACTGATCTGTGACTGGTTGTGTTTCTGTGGAGGGAGAGACGGGAAGAGAGACAGAGTGAGATAGAGATAAAGAGAGATAGAGAGAGTGAGTGAGTGAGTGAGTAAGTGAGCGATGGAGCAGTGGTTTTATGTATTGAAATTCGACTTGCGTTCGATTGTTTGTTTGCTTGTCTGTGTGATTGTGTGGCTGTGTGTGTGTGTTGGTGGGTGGATCTGTGTGACTGTTGGTTAGTTCTTTGTGATTTGTAGGTGTTTTGTGGTGTGTGGTAGTGGTATTTTGTTGAGTGGGTGAGTGGTTGTTGATGGATAATTCTGGGTGTGAACGTGGCCGACTGTGTGGTTGTCTGGCGGGGTGGATGTTTAGGGGTAGGCAATGCAATGGAATGAAATGGAATGCAATGCAAAGGAATGCAAGGGAAAGGAAGGCATGGAATGGCGTCACATGGAATGGCATGTGATGTGATGGAAGGTGAGAGAACGGAAGGGAAGGGAACTGGATGGGACTCCACTGGTGGTGGATTGGACTGATGTGATTGCAGAGGGCGGGTGTTCGGTGAATAAAAATAAAAGTGATCATCATAATCAAAGGGAATTGACTGACCTGGTGTTGTTGACTCGAATTGAGGCGTGGTAGTCAACTGTTGATCAGTGCCTTCCGACTGAGTGCTTTCTGACTGATCTGTGACTGGTTGTGTTTCTGTGGAGGGAGAGACGGGAAGAGAGACAGAGTGAGATAGAGATAAAGAGAGATAGAGAGAGTGAGTGAGTGAGTGAGTGAGTAAGTGAGCGATGGAGCAGTGGTTTTATGTATTGAAATTCGACTTGCGTTCGATTGTTTGTTTGCTTGTCTGTGTGATTGTGTGGCTGTGTGTGTGTGTGTGTGTTGGTGGGTGGATCTGTGTGACTGTTGGTTAGTTCTTTGTGATTTGTAGGTGTTTTGTGGTGTGTGGTAGTGGTATTTTGTTGAGTGGGTGAGTGGTTGTTGATGGATAATTCTGGGTGTGAACGTGGCCGACTGTGTGGTTGTCTGGCGGGGTGGATGTTTAGGGGTAGGCAATGCAATGGAATGAAATGGAATGCAATGCAAAGGAATGCAAGGGGAAGGAAGGCATGGAATGGCGTCACATGGAATGGCATGTGATGTGATGGAAGGTGACAGAACGGAAGGGAAGGGAACTGGATGGGACTCCACTGGTGGTGGATTGGACTGATGTGATTGCAGAGGGCGGGTGTTCGGTGAATAAAAATAAAAGTGATCATCATAATCAAAGGGAATTGACTGACCTGGTGTTGTTGACTCGAATTGAGGCGTGGTAGTCAACTGTTGATCAGTGCCTTCCGACTGAGTGCTTTCTGACTGATCTGTGACTGGTTGTGTTTTCTGTGGAG